CTCTGCCCCATGGATCCAGCCAGGTGGCAGCTGTGCTGTGGCATGTGGCCACTGGGGCACCTCAGAAGCATCAGTGCAGCACTAAGCGCTCTCTGTACTGAGGATGGTCCCAAAGCAAGCCAGATCTCTGTCCATCCCACTCAGCAGGGGGGGTCCACGCCCCCTGGCTAGTGAGGACAGGCCTCTTCCTTACCATGGACCCACAGGAAGGAGGCTTCGTGGCAACGGAGCCTGGGTCAGTCCTTCGGAGTTCCCTCCGTGAACAGGGTCAGAGGCCACAGTAAGGGGCCACGTGCTGCATGTGCTCCCCCACTGTGTCCTGACTGCCGAGGGAGAGGCAGGGATTCACCAGCTCTCAGCGAGTCCCCCTCCCTCCACAGGGGATCTGTGACTCGGTAGCGACTCCCTTCTCCCCAGGTGAGGCCGGGGCTCTTCGGGAGCCAGCAGCGCCTTGTCTCCACCCCCTTACGCCAAAGGCACACTTGGTAACGATAAAAATGGCTTCACAGGGATCGGTTCTAGTTCCTGCCCTAAGCAGCTCCCCACCGCAGCCCATGCCAACGGCTCTCTCCTTGCCGCCGCGAGGGCCAGATGCTCGGCTTTTTGCCGAGTCTTCGGGACCACGATCCAATCCCAGGGGCGTCGGGAAGGACAGTCTCCCAAGCTGCCGGCGGCCAAGAAGTGACTGGAAAGGGAGAGTGCAAGAGCCACATTCCCCTCCATTAGCACTCAGTACCAGCAGCAGCCTGGCCTCAGCATCCTCTAGGCAGGTGACAGAGCTCCAGTTGTTCCAGGGGACTGTGGAGAGGCCGGAGTTTCTGGCTCTGGTCAAAGGAGGGCAGGAGCTTCCTTCCATGCTGTCACGAGTCAGTCTGGCAAGGCACTGGTACTGCAGGAGGGACTTTGTGCTTTTTTGCTGCTGGGGCAGGGCAGGTGCTCTTCACTGCTGCTGGGACCCTGTGCCTTACACAAGCAGTCCCAGGCGGGTGACTTTGGCTGACAAGAAAGTGTGCAACACAAACACAATGGGCTTGGGACAGGAGTGCAGGTCCAGGGTCTGGAGAGAAAGCACAATGGACTCCATCAGTCCCCCATGTAGCACAGGCTCTGCTTGGAGCAGCCGAGTCACCAGGCTGCAAACACCCGCAGACTGGGACAGCAGCCTGGGCCTGCCAAGCCATGTGCTCGGCTCCCCCCCAGCCACAGAGACCAACATCTGCCAAGAGATTCTCACACCGCAGGGACCCCCCTCCCAAAGGCCTTGGGGAAGCTGGGCCCAAAGCCCCGGGGCCGGCGATCTCCAACGAGGCTGCACGGCTCCGTCTGGCTCCCACGAGCGGCAGGGACCTGGGAGCAACACGTCTGCCCTGCAGTGGCTAGGGATCGGCGCCAGCAAGGGGGTTCTCCCAGCATGTCCAAGCAGACAGGGACCCTCTGGCCAGTGGTGCCCAGCCTTGCGAGGGGAAGCTCACGGAGGCGAGGGCCACAGGGGCAGGAGGGAGTGTCCAGAAGGGGGAGAGAAGGCTTCAAGCACCTGAAATTAACTTCGGTCTCACAGCAGCGTGCCAAGGACAAACCCGAGTCCCTCCCAGCCCCACGGCACCGCCAGCCCCGTTCTCACCAGCTCCCCCTCAGGGCCACCAAAATCCAAGTAGAGGTTCCTGATGCCATCATCTGCCGACATTCTGAGCTTCTCAAAGGGGTAGAGGAACTGGGTGTGGCTGGCGCCTGCCTCCTCCCTGGAGAGAGCGAATCCGTTTTCATAATGGACGGTGAGCTTCCCCTCCTGGCCATTCAGGGTGCAGCCTGCATGGAAACAGAGCACCGAACCTCAGGAGCAGCCGAGAGCCCCCAGCTTTCCGCCCACTGGGCCTTGTGCCCAGCACTGGGGGTGCAAGGGCAGAGGAGTCGTCGACTCGCTATCAGATGGGCGCGGGGAGGAACCAAACCCACCACGCCATGTGTAGTGAAGGAAAAGCATTTCCATGCCAGCTGTTCTGTTAATGCAGGGGCGGGGAACCTACAGCCCAGGGGCTGGATACAGCTCCCCACTTTCTTGGATCTGGCCCCTGAGGCTCAGTTCCCCCCAGCATTGGGGAGCCCGTGCTGGTGCTGCAGCCCCCCCTCCAGGCTGGAGCACCCAAAATGTGCTATCTTGGGCCCCTGTCGGCTCTGGGGCAGGCCTGGGCAAAATATGGCCCACCAAGCCAGCAGATCCAGCCCACCGAGGCTGTAGGGAGCCCCAGGCAGGCTCCCCTACTTGCCCTGCGTGCCGCTCACAAACGCAGCTGTGGGGCGCTCTCTGAGTCCAGAGGGCAGGGGAAAAGATTCAGCTGCTGCTCCCGCCCACAGCACAATCCCATTGGCTGGTTTCTGGACAGACACTGGCCAATGGGAGATGCCTGTTTGAACAACAGGCAGCCACAAAGCACAACCCTCCTGCTCACTCACTCAAGCATATGGCTGAGCAGGCAGAAACATTTTAAGCTCTGCAAGCAGGCAAGTCTCCTGGCGAGAACTTGCCTCTGGTACTTCAGCCCCTTCCTTCCCTAGCCCTCTGCCCCACTCTCATACCCCCTCCCAGAGCTGGCACCCCAATCTCCTGCCGAGATCACAATCCCCTCCCGCCCTAGGTCACATCCCAAAACCCTGAACATAACATAAGAATGGCCGTACTGGGTCAGACCAAAGGTCCATCTAGCCCAGTATCCTGTCTACTGACAGTGGCCAGCACCAGGTGCCCCAGAGGGGGTGGACTGAAGACAATGATGAAGCGATTTGTCTCCTGCTATCCCTCTCCAGCCTCTGACAAACAGAGGTCAAGGACACCATTGTAGCCCCTGGCTAAGAGCCTTTTATGGACCTAACCTCCATGAAATGATCTAACTTCTCTTTAAACTCTGTTATAGTCCTAGCCTCCTCTGGCAAGGAGTTCCACAGGTTGACTACACGCTGTGTGAAGAACTTTCTTTTATTGGTTTTAAACCAGTTACCCATTAATTTCATTTGGTGTCCTCTAGTTCTTCTATTTAGGGAACTAATAAATAACTTTTCTTTATCAGCCCTCTCTACACCACTCATGGTTTTATAGACCTCTATCATATCCCCCCTCAGTCTCCTCTTTTCTAAGTCCCAGTCGCTTTAACCTCTCCTCATATGGGACCCGTTCCAAACCCCTAATCATTTTAGTTGCCCTTTTCTGAACCCTTTCCAAGGCCAAAACATCTTTTCTGAGGTGAGGAGACCACATCTGTACACAGTATTCAAGATGTGGGCGTACCATAGTTTTATACAGGGGCAGTAAGATATTCTGGGTCTTATTTTCTATCCCTTTCTTAATAATTCCTAGCAACCTATTTGCCTTTTTGACCGCCGCTGCACCCCATTTCCCTGCCCTAGGTCGCAACTGCCTCCTTCACCCGCACTCCTGTCTCCCTCCTGCAACCCAATCTGTTACCCCAACCTCCATCCCAGACCCCACATCTCCTCCATTAATACCATGGAAGAGTGTGGCCCTCCACCACTTTCCAAAATCTTGGGAGTGGCCCCCCATCAAAAACTATTGCCCACCCCTGCTCTGGGATGTGAGGGGAATGTGGGGAGTGTCTTTCTCCTCCTCAGTAGGGGCCATGCCAGTGAGGGGTTTTTCTGTGGGTCAGCAAACCCCGACCCAAAAAAGATTCCCTACCCCTGCATTAATGCTACAGGTGGCGTCAGTGTGAAGTACGGCTGGAAAACCCGTTTAATCAGTTAGCTGGTTAAACGCTGTTTACCATAACAACACAGAGAGCTGCTCCAGCTGGACCAGGCCTGCCATGGACAGAGGCTGCTCCGGGTAGGCCAGACCTGCTGCTCCAGCCCAGCTGGGCTGCTTGTTAACGGGTTACCCCTGACATCCCTAGTGCGAAGTGGGCCTGCCCAGGGACTGGCAAGCTGCTGCTCAGTGAATTCACACAGGAGCACTGGCTGAGAGTTCACGTGACCCTACACCTAACCCCCCAGCGTCAGCAAGGGACACCAGGGTGCTGCCTAACTTCTGGGACGAGACTGGCAGCAGCCTTTGCAGAGCTGGGAAATTCACCATGCTGCCATCAGCCCAGCGAACGTGCACCTGGAGCAAGGGAAGAGCCTGGGCAGCAGGTGGGTTCAGAGCGGAGAGGTGTCGGGGGCAGGAAGCTGTCTCCGGCTACCGCTGGAATCCAGGGGCAGAACCTGGCGGATGTCGCCGAGGGCAGAAAGGCAGCCGGGCGAGGGCACGCGCAGAGGAGCAGAAAGCCTGGCATTTCAATCGCGGAACTAGACAGGTGCATGAAGATGAATGTTCGGCAGAAGCCTGGCATGACGTGTCTGATAGAGCCACTTAGGCTGCATCCCAGGACAGCCTGGGGGCCGTGCAACCTGGCACATCCTTGAGACACCAGAATGACATAGGAGGAGCTGCACTGCTCAGCCTGTGCCTTGACAGCCAGGCAGCAAGGGGTGGGGAACACAGGATGACTAACCCACCAAGAATGCACAGGGCGGTGGCTCAGCGCCTCAGTCTAGCAATCCCTCTCCAGTCCCTGAGAAACCCAGCTCAGCCAACGCGTGCACATGAAGCAACTCTGGGGCTTCTCTGCTCTCTGAACACAGCTCGCGGTAATGAGCAGGGACCAGACAGACACCATTAACCTGCTCTGGCCTCTCCTGCCAAGGGGAAGCTGCAAAGGACAAGGCAGAGGTCTGGGATGTAGACAGGCCCCTTGAAAGCAAGTTCAAGTTATTTTTCTGCTCGTCTTTGACTGTCGGTCGCACTATCACGGACACGCCATCTTTCCTGGAGAACTCCAGCTACGGAGAGTGGACTCTCTCAGGCCCTAAGGTCAGAGTAAGACCCGAATCTTCACAAACAGCTTTTCTGCCAACTATTTTCAGGCCTTTGAGTTCAATAAAAGCGTGCCACAGTTTCAATACAAATCTATTCCCACCTCAGCCAAGGAGTGCTTGTACAGCACAGCCACCCTGCCGCTTCTCCAGGTTCTCCCCCCTACCCAGGAACCTGGGGTATGTGGGACCTGTGGAGTCAACCTCCCTCCTCCCCTCACTCCCAGACCTTCACCGCACTAGAAAGCAGCCAAAGGGACAAGTCCCCCCCTTTCCCCACCCCCAGCTTTTCCCCAGATTGCCTGTCGCATCGAGGGCTTGCGGAGCTTGCTGAGATTCCACCCCCACGTCCGTGGCTGCACATGAGCTTCTGCTTTTGAAGGCCTTCAGGGCAGACAGGTGTGGGGGGCGGGGAGTCTGCAATGCGTGACATCACTCGGGTATTTTTGGCCCACCAGTGCAATACTAGAGGCCAGCCCAACCGGCACTCCCAGCAAGTCTTCCCTCTGCTGCCATGACTAGCCCTGCTTTCCCCGGCCAGAGTTCTACTGCTAACCCATCAGCAGCACATTCTTGGCTCTGGTCGCAGGAGTCTGCCTCAGGCAAACGAGGCAGGATCACAGTGCGCTCTTTCGCCTAGCCTCAAAAGAAGGCCTTGCCCCTTCTGCCTGCACAGCCTAGTGGTCAAGGCTCTGTTTGGATGCAGTGGCATTTGGGAGCCTCTCGCTCACAGCAGCAATTTTATTCCCGCAACTGGCAGCACACAGCGCCCTGGCGTGCCTGTGCCGTTTGTAGCAGGCTCTCTGAGGACCAGCCCACAGCGCCCTGGCGTGCCTGTGCCGTTTGTAGCAGGCTCTCTGAGGACCAGCCCACAGCGCCCTGGCGTGCCTGTGCCGTTTGTAGCAGGCTCTCTGAGGACCAGCCCACAGCGCCCTGGCGTGCCTGTGCCGTTTGTAGCAGGCTCTCTGAGGACCAGCCCACAGCGCCCTGGCGTGCCTGTGCCGTTTGTAGCAGGCTCTCTGAGGACCAGCACACAGGGGGCTCTGGCAGGGTGTGTGCAAGTTGCTGGCTCCCAAGCCAATGTTCTCCTTGTAACACTGCAGCAGGATGGAAGCTGGCCTGTTGCCTCACATTCCCAGCTGAGCTAACCCGCCTCCCTTAGATCGGCTACAAGAGGCCCAGAACTAACAGCGAACACCATCACAGGAGGGCTTGTAGGATGGGCGCTATTCTCTTCTGAACACTAGAGGGAGCTTCTACACAACAGCTAACAGACCCACGCCCTTGGCTCCTCAGCTGCCCTCGAGCAGGGGCAAGGAACCGACTTGCCTGGATCTAGCCCCTGAGGCTCAGGCCCCCCCCCAGCATTGGGGAGTGCAAGCAGGCACTCCAGCCCCCCACGGCAGGGCTGGAGCACACAAAATCTACTAGGCTGGGCCCCCCAGGCTCTAGTATGCAAGGGGGATGGGAGGAGCGTCTTTCCCCTCTCAGGCTTCGGGGGCAGCTGAGGAGTCTGTACAGGTGGCTGGTGGTCTGGTGGCACTAGACTAACACAACCAGAGCACATCCGAAGAAGTGGGCGGTGCCCACGAAAGCTCATGACCCCATCGACAGGTTCGGTTAGTCTCTCGAGTGCCACCAGACCAGTGGTTGTTTTCCCCTCTCGGTTGGGGTGGGTTTTTTCTTCGCGGTTGTGTAGCCCCCCACTGATTTTTCTGTGGGTCAGCAGACCTGATCCAAAAAAGGTTCCCCAGCCCTGCCCCCGAGATTAGTTTTTGGCTGGTGAGCCCTCTCCTACCCAAAAGCTGGAAGACTCCAGGCTGAGACTGGCTTTGCTAGGTGCTCAGGAAGGACTTCAGCTGCATGACTCTGCAGGGCCAGGCTGGTTCGCAGCCCCTCTGGCTGGAAGGCCCAGCCCCTCTCAAACGGAGGCAGCTTGATGTGCTCCAAATGAAGAAACAAAGCTGGCTGCCCGGTGCTCAGCCCCAGCTGCCAGCCAGAAGCATCTTGCAGAATCACGCACCCTACCAAACACACTGTGGTCCCGGCCCCGCGGCTGGTGGGGAGATGGACTCAACAGCGAGATCCCAGAGGGGTAAAAGCTGCCACGCAGGCCTATCTGCCTGAGCACAGACACTCCTGCAGCTCAGGAAACCCGCCCCCCCTTGCTGGCTCCACAAAGGCGCTGAGAGATAAGTGGCTTCCTTTTGCCGAGGCTGCTCCACCAGCCAGTTAGGTGTGAGCTTTGGCCCTATCATCTCTCCTCTCCCTGGCTTCCCTTGGGGGGTGGGGGGGAACGCTGGCCCCTTCTCAGGGAAAACAAGCACTCAGGCCCTCCCATGGAAGGTGGCACAGGAGAGCACAGAAGTGGCTCCCACAGAAGCTGGGCCGCCAGGGTCCCGCAGTTACCACAGCAGAGGGCGCCCCTCTTCCGAGGCCCAGCGCTCGGTGCGGTTCGCAGGGCCCCACCAGGACCTCCTGCGGCTCTGTCCCAGTCGCTGAGGAGACACTGGGCATGGAAGTAGAGCGTGAACAGACTGGGCGCATTAGGGTGAAGTGTCCTGCACTTATATTTCTTGTGCTCCTCCTTATGAGTCTTAATTCTGAACCACGTCCCATAGCTCTCGTATGCGTCTCAATGCTGGGCAGCCCCATCCAAGCCCCCCGGCCTGACTGTGCAGCTAGAGCGCGCTGCTCAGACCCCAGCCCAGAAGGTACGCGGTCACCCGACTTCTCGCCAGTTGAGCAGCTGGGGGGGGGAGGGCGGGGTGCCTGCTGCCCGCAACAAGCTGCCAGCCAGCATACCTAGGGACACCTCCTTTATCAGCTCGGCAGCAGCATGGCAGCCCTGAACTAACATCCTGGTCCAGGAGGAGAGGTCCCGATGCGTCTCCACCCTGAAAACGTGCATTTCAACGCCCTGGCGCGAGCCCGTCCGCGTTGCAAAGGTGAGCTCGGATCCCAGAGAAGGCGATCTGTGCCCGGAGCCAGAGTGAACCAGCCTGTGGATCAGATGGGAGAGCAAGAGGGGTGTTACTGGAGTGCACAGTGGCCAGGGAGCTGCCAGCCAGGGACACGGCTGCGTCCCAGCGCAAGGAGCAGGCTGGCAGGCCATGAGGGAGTGGTCAGCATGACCAGGGAGCAGGCTGAGCGGCACATTGGACGCAGCCGAGGCCTGAACTCTCGGCTTAGGAGGCAGCGCCCAGGCAGGAGGGCAGCACCAGAGCTGTGCCCGGGACTCTCCCTTACACCAGCAGCAAGGGCAGCAGGCTGGCAAAGGTGCACACACAGTGCTCTGGGCTGGGGGGCTCTCCCACCTCCCAGAGGGCACAGCCCCACTCGGAGGAGCAGACAGGCCACAAACTGAGCAGCCACATGAGACGATGGGCGAGGTGCCCTGAGCCTGCAGATGCTGAGTGGGAACCGGGAGGCCTCGAGCCAGACGCTATAGAAACGCTAAGGCCAGAGGAATGATGTCTCCTATGGTTCTGGCTGCCGAGGGCTTGGCAAGGAACAGGATCCAGTCTGGCTGCAGGAGCAGCACAGGGAGGCTTGAGCAGCAGACCTGGACACGACACCACGGCCCCACGGAGCCTGCTCACGCAGGCTGGACCTTTTCTCTGGCAGCAGGACAGCCCCTCGAGCTCCCTGTAAGGCGGGCTCTGGCCGCAGGAGTGGCAAAGGCAGAAGGACTTGCAGGGAGACAGGGCTAGAAGTTAAGAGGCAAGTATCTAAGGGCCTCTCCCAGCACCCAAGAAGCTGTACAAGATGCAAGCAGACATCTCCCCGCAGGGGAGCCGACAGCCTCCATGGGGTCTTGGGCAAGGTGCATGTGTGGGGCCGGCTCCACGCCGCAGAAGGGGGTGGGACAGCAGGCGGAAGCCAGGGCAGCCAGCCCTCATGTCACCTGGACCGTGGTGCACCCTCCCCCTGCAGCTATCACAGGCCCCGGAGGGAACGGCACGAAGCCCCGGCCTCCCCAAGTTGTCCTAGGAGCCACCCAGAGCGCTCCAGCAGTGGCTGAAAGGGCCACCGTCACAGGGAGCCTGGGCCCCTTTGAATTGCTGGGCTCTGGGGCAATTGCCCCCTTCGCTGCAGCCTGGTCAGCAGGCCCATCTCACCATGGCAAAAGCCTGCAGCCCCTCCCGTGTCAGGGGAGCCCGGCTCTGAGCACTCTGCACCAGGACCACCACACCTGGTCTGGAGGCTGCAATGCAGGCGTGGCCGCAGGTGGGCCTGGGCAGAGAACGCGCTGGCGCCCTGCCTCGCGGCTCGCCGTGGGAGGAGCTGGCAGGCAGTCACCACACCCGAGTCTCCAGAAAGGCCAAAGCTTGGCTTGGGCTCCAGCAGGGCACATGCTTTGTGCAGCCAAGACTGGCGTCCCCAGAGCCTGGCTTGCCAGCTCCTCCCGGGGATCCCGACGCGGGGTGGCCCGATCGGAAGGCGAGCGCTGGCCGGTCATGGTAGGCCCCATAGCCAGAGCTTTGTACTGGCTGCCTTGGCCCGCGCAGGGCTCCGGGGCTGGCTCCGTGGGGACGGGGAACCGCGAGGCACGGACTCTCAGTGCTCACGGCCCTGCAGCGTAGTTTGCAGGCAGGCTCTGTGGGAGCAGGGAGGAGCGCTTGCAGCCCGTATTAGGGTTCGAGTGCCTACTGCTAGTCTGTCTGCTCCTTCAGGTGAGCACTCCACACAACCGGCTATTAACCGCCCCTCCTGCACAACTCCCCCCGCCCATTCCCAACGCCT